AAAAAAAAAATGTGCTGAAAAAACCCGGCTTATACTTGAGTACAGACAGTAAATGATCTCTAAGATGAAACATAAAATCCTTACCAAAAAAGGGTTTTTTTTAAAAAAAAGCACGTGTATGTGTGTAATATTAAATATTAACCCACACAGTCCAAGTCCTCGAATACCACATGAAATTAAAATAGCTTCTTAAGATCATTAAAAAAATTTCACTCAAGTATCACCTCCAATTCTATGCCCCTCGTCACTGTGGTCTGCAGAGAAGACACACTGAGTGGTCTAAGAGCCGTCCTGTAATTGTGGATGAGACAAGGGCCACTAACCAAAACCTTTGACAGGGCTCACATGACGCACTTCAGCAGTCTGGACTCTCGAGTACACGTCTGTTCTGACGGGCTGTGCTTACCTCACATGATAATCAGTTGCTGGTCTCAGATCTTTCAGGTTGCATTCTAATTCTTCTCCACTGCAAAGAGAGGTCAACCATTAGTTCAAGGTAGTTCAAAAGTAACAGGGTTTCTGGATTTGGGTCTTAGAACCAAGTACCAGCAATGATTCAGGAACTAGCAGGTCTCTATTCGACTGTAAGCCAGAAATAAACTTTCTTATTTGGTCTTACTGCATTTTTTGGACTTAATAAAACAAACAAACAAAAACAGATTACTTTTAATGAGGTCAGTCCGAGATGCAGACAATGGCATGGTGAACTTACTAATAAAATTTCCAAACAAGCAATTTAACGTGTTCTCCTTCCCAGGGAGCACTTGCTAAAACCGTAAGTAAAAGGAAAGCAGGATGCCAGCCACCAGCCGTCCTTCAAGGAAAGCTCTTGCTCGGACTTACCTGGGCAGGGTATTTCGAATGCCAGACTCTCCGATGAAATCTCAACCTAATTCCCTGGCACACCCAGGGACTCAGAATGAAACTATTTAGAAGACGTAACTGAACCTCTACCTAATCGATCAGAAGGAAACAACAAATATAAATTTAAAATATTCCATTAAAAATTTTAAAAGTGTGAGCACAGGGAGGAGGTGGCGGGCTGTTGGCTGTTCTAGAGAAGGCGCACCACTATTTGGTAGTGAGGGACCGTTACTTCTGAACCTCGTGGGACAAAAGCCACAGGAAGAAGAAGATGGAGGAGGAGGAGGAGGCGGTCAGACGCCAATAGGGCGGAATTTACTAATAGGAGAGGTCTGAATGAAAACCATACAGGGATCCCTAGATCTCTCTCTCTCTTTTTTCTTTCATCTTTTCATGAGTTTGAAATGATTTCCAAATAAAAAGTTGTAATAAAAATAGATACAAACTAGGAGTTCAGTGCCCACACTTTGCATGCAGCTCTGTTCTTTGAGCTGTACTGTAGCTTGTAAATATTTTTAATCTGCTAACACAGTTTATTACCAGGAAACCTTACATAATCATTCAGAATTTGTGTCTCCTGAGAAAGAGAAAAAAATCCAAATATTTGGCAGTTCGAGGCGATATTCCAAATCCACTTTCGCCGAGTGGCAGCTGTCTCTTTCCAGGGGAGTCCGGTCGAGTTCTTGTCACTCACAAACTTCCATTGCTTGGCCTGACTGGTCCCCCTGATCACATGGGACCCTAGCTCCTTCCAACAACGTACCTATTATACTAATAGAATCTACCGATCTGTTTCTTGGTGGGTGGGGAGGATGTAGCTCTCTGTATTTCCTTAAGGTTTCTACTAACTCTGATTTTTCCAAAGAGAACCAAGTGGTCATATGCCAGAATAAGAAGTTTGGGATTCATTCGCCGTCTGATGGGGGCTCACAGGAGTGCTCTCCCCAGGGGAGCACTAGGTCCTGACGTAGGACCCGCCGTGCACACAGGGGACAAGGTGACCCTGAGGAGCCACCTCCAGAGGCCCAGGGAGGAGGCCACGGACGGTAAAGGCTGCAAGAGGACAGAGCATCTCATGGGCTTCCTTCGTCCTATCTCCTTCTGTCAGGAAGACAGCACAGCGCTTGAGCAAGACAGAACCAGAGAAGGAGGTCACGGGGCTGCCCACTGACGCAGCCACGACGCCAGAGGAAAGCCACGGCAGGGAGGGAAGTGGGGTTTATGTGACCACATCGCCCTGGGTCGGGCCCATCTTCCCTGGCGGCCACTCACAGGAAGTTCAAACAAGGAGCTACAACAAAACTCACTTCCTGATTTTCCTCGTGGGCAAACCTGCGATACGCCCAACAATGGAGAGGGGAAGGGACCTAACCCTGAAGAACATGTTTGGACCACGTTTAGAAGATGAACATAAGTCATTTGAAGAGTGAGTAGCTAGGAGTCCAGTGAACGGAAGGCTAGTTTAGAGGCTGATTTTATGTTCTGTGCAGTAAAGTTTTTGACCATCTGTGACAGCCTGGGCGCAAAAGCTTTTGAAGTAAACCTTTTGAAGTTGCACGATGGGAAGCTACTTAGAAAATAAGAAGGCGAACTGAAAAGACTGACACATCAGAGACTTAAAAAAAAGTAGTCGCATTTTACCTTCATAGGCATGAATAGGAATGAATTTTTTACCAATGAGATATGACAAGTTAACAAAACCTGGGGCTACATTTCACCCAAACCAAACAGCGCTACAAAGTTGTTATTTTAAGTTGCTGTAGGGACGAGTCTGACTCGTGACTGGTGGACAGTTCGTGCACAATACTGATACCTACTTATTCATTCCGGTGAAATTAACCCTTGGCATTATGTAATTATTATGACTGTTAGTTCTTCAAATGAGCTAATTAAAGGGAAAAACCATAAATTTCTCTGTTTTTTATTTTCCTTAATGAGCCCAACATTACAGCTCAGCAGCTTGGAAAAACACATGGAAATATAGGTTACCTGTAAATGATCTTGTATTTTCCATCTCGCCCTTTGTCGGATAAGGCTACCTCATAGCTGTAGGGGAAGGAGAGACTGCTGTGGGGTCCACAGGAAAGCCCCACAGGGGGAGCCCAGGACAGCACAACCGCTCTTGCCTGAATATTGGACACCTGAGGATGAAAAAAGGGGGGGAGGGTGTCAAAAGCGTTCAAACTCATCTCACCTGGACCAGATCCTGCTTCCTCCAATGGTATTTTTGGAACTTCTCTGTAGTGGCACAGAACTGTTGCACACGTCATCCAAGGCCAACCATTTCACTTACCAACAAACGATATTCTACATGGTGCTCTCTTGTCAAAACCCTGAGACCCAAAATACAGCTCCTGTAACGTCTGCCAGGACACTGCAAACTGTCATCCAAGTCTAATGCAATTCACACTCAGTCCTCCAGAAAGTGAGGATTAAAAACAACAATAATAGTAAGGGAGGAAAAGTACTGCACGACCCAGGGATCTACAAGATAACCATAGTATGATGAGGAAGGTGTTGCATTCGGTGCTGCTTGCTCGGTCTGTAACATCGCTCAGCATGGTCACACCATGCTCCTGAAGTCCTGCAGGTGCCCAGCACAGCTCCAGGGGGGCCTGGAAGCCAGCGCCAGGCTGTGTGGGGCAGCCTTCTATGGACTGTATGGGGATGTTCCGCCCCCCAAGTTCTGCTTGAGGTTTTGGTTTTGTTTCTTGGTCAGGACTTCATTCGAACAAAGGGGTCTGAGTCTTAAAAAAAAAAAAGTCTAAAAACTGGAATTTTAAAGCCCAGGATTGCCATGTATGAACATGGACCGTGTTTCCTTCACCATGTGGTAGCAGACCGTTCCTTTGAATTCCTTCGTCAGCTGACAAGGCATCGTGCCAAGAAGCAATCTCCGTTAATTTATATGGGGAAAATGCCGATTGTTCACAGGCCCCCAAAATAACCCACCAAAGCATACCAAGTAACACATAAAACCCCAAATAACAGGGACCTATATATAGTGTTCACAGACAGCGTTCAAAGCCACAGGGGACTGGAGGCTGAGTTACCGAGGGAGGGGAGCTCCCAGGCCACTCTCACAGCAAGGTGGACGCTACCCCTCTAACCACTGTCTGCCCAACAAACACTGAACACCTGCGCTTTTCTCCTTTTATTTGTAGAAGTGAAGATCTTGTCTAGATTTCCTTGGCTTAGCAAAATCAGATACGAATGTAGAGCTGACGTAAAATCCAAGTGCCATAGAGAAAATCTTTGTAAAGCAGGGTATGCCATACGACCTACCTCTAAAGCAACGGAAAAAATCAGATGCAATCACAAGCAAATAATAAGACAAGAATTCCCTTGACCTGTGCCTGGGACAGACAGGCATGGAACCCTCAACGACAGGGGTTGATGATAAAGACCCCAGCCTGTATCCCATTACTCAGTCCCATCCTCAGGAAATGCTAACACCAACGCTTCCTCAGCTGTGAGTTGCGATGCCACATGGGGGTCATGGAACTGTGTGAGTCACCACAAGACAACCGACAGTGTAAGGTTTCTGAAGGGGCAGCGGCCAAGACTTAGTTCAAAGTCACATGTGCAATGAGTCCGAGGTGCTTCTGACACCGCGAGCCCTTGTTGCAAATTTCTGGTGCCAGGGGGGCTGTTTAGAAGCCCTGCTCCCTACTCTCCCGAGCAGGATGAAGGCCAAGCTGACCACAGCCGTGCCAGGCTGGCCACAGACCAAGCAATGGCTTCCTTTCCCCCTTTCCTGTTTCAAGACTCACTTTACAGAGGCTGCCCTCTAGGACACCCCGCGGGTAAACGCAATCCTTTGTTTCAAGGCCTGTTTCTGGAGAAATCCAACCTAAAATCAGGTCTAATTCTTTAAAGTACACGGAAACCACCAAACCGAGGGCAAACTTGCTCCCACGGAGTGGGTGCTGGCTCAGAGCAAGCCTGCAGGTCAGGGAGGAACTGCCCCTGTGGGCTTCTAAGGTGGTCACTCCACACTCAGCGGAAAGGCCCAGCTTCTCCAGAGGAGCAGTTGGTGTTTTTGAACTGCTGACCTTCCAGTGAGCGGCGCAGTGTGTAACATTTTCAAAACACTTTCTTTCTACTTGAGTCCTTGGTATCAGCTCCTCTTTATCACCCCCTCCCTCCCACCCTTGTGACCCCTTGATAAACTATAAACCAGCGGTTTTCAACCTGTGGGTCGCGACCCCTTTGGGGATCGAACGACCTTTTCACAGGGGTTGCCTGATTCATAACAGTAGCAAAATGACAGTGATGAAGTAGCAACGAAAATAATTTTATGGTTGGGGGTCACCACAACATAAGGAACTGTATTAAAGGGCCGTAGCACTAGGAAGGTTGAGAACCACTGCTCTAAATTATTATTATTATTTTCATATCTTACACCATCCGTTGTCTCCCTTCACCCACATTTCTGTTGTTCATCAGGGGTTTATATATTGATCATTGAGATCAGTTCCCACTTTCTCCCCCCACCTTCCCTCTACCCTCATGGTATCGCTACTCCCATTATTGTTCCTGAGGGGTTTATCTGTCCTGGATTCTGTGTGTTGAGAGTTCTTATCTGTACCAGTGTACATGCTCTGGTCTAGCCAAATTTGTAAGGTAGAACTGGGGTCACGGTAGTGGGGGTGGGGGTGGGGGGGAGCATTAAAGAACTAGAGGAATGTTTTGTGCTTCATCAGTGCTATACTGTACCCCGTTCAGCCAATTCATCCTTCAAGACCCCAGCCAGGCCTTTCTTCCATACAACCCCCAAGCAGCCTTGCCTCTGTAATGATGAGCTAGACTCCACTGAAGCACTGCACGGGCCTGACCCTTTCTGTGACACACAACCTGGTTGGCACTGCGATCACTGAGCAGGACATTGCAGCATTTGCCTGCTTCTCTCAACGGACCGTACGACTCACGCAGGATAGGGCCCAGGCCATGCTCAATGGCAAGGAAAGGCTGGGTATCAACTGCTTACTGAATGGAAATTAACACTTAAAAGAGTAAGATGTCCGAGTCTCTGAACCAGACAACACAATGAGGGGTGGGGTGAGGGGGTGGGGGAGAGGCAACATAGCATTATACCCCTCTTTTAAAATCAAAGGCAACCCTGTTCCTGAGTCAGACCCCACACTTCTTAATATGGCCCCAGGCTAGCCGCTCCTGGTCACCTTCCTCTCACTGATGTGACACCTCTGTAAACACCCCTTTGGGGCGCAACTCCCTCTCACACTCCTGTGACTCTGCTTTGACTCCCCCTTCTGTTAGACTCTATTCAAATGCATCTTTGTTCGTACCTATAATCACCACCTCTCGGCCTGTACAGCGGCTGTGGACACACGGTGATTAAAATAGAATTTCTGCTCTTAGGGAGCGTAACCATGGTGAGGGGAGACATGCGGGCTCACGAGTGGTCTGACACCCTGGTCCAGGCTCCATTAGTTATTTCCCGGTGCTCAGGCCACACGTTGCTGGTACAACGATGGGAATAAGCAGCCCTTATTTCCCTACGCTGTTATGCACGTTCTGCTGATCCGGGTGCAGCTTCCCTGACTAGATTGTAAGGTGGCATGACGTGGCTACACCACTGTCCTTGCACAGTGCATTCACACATATTCCTGAGGTGTTACGTTTGATCATCCACTGTTAAGGCAAACGTCTGCTATGAGAAATTCAGTGTGTACAATTGAAAAAACAAAACAAAAAACTGATTAGGTATTAACGTGGCGACGTGGTCACTCTGCACAAGTACCACAGAACGTGGTCACCCTGATTCTGTGAATGGTTCTGTGCTGTTACATCACGTCTCAAATAGCCCAAACCCTAGCACTCCGCCAAGCAAGTCTCCCTAAATGCATGTTCCCTGACACTCTACCTTTTTCAACAGCTACTAGGATTTTTTTCTCCTTGCCCCTGGAACCTATCTAAATTATGAGACTGAACAATAATGCAAAAAGCACCCACTAAAATCACTTTTAGCCCCACCCCCACCCCCGACTCCCAAAGCAATGTGTGAGCTCGACGGTCATCAGAAACAGCTATCTGGACAGACGCTGTTTGTCCAGACACACAGACGCCTCTGATGTGCCAGTCTGTCAGAAATGCATTTAGAGCATTCGGCATCTTTGCCAGAAGACAGCAAGTGGTTTCTGCAAACTCTGAAAACTAGTCAATGGGCTGAGATTGCTACCACGGCCCGGGACCCAAATCCCCATCCTGGGCGCCACAAAAATCACACGTGCTGCCATCAAGTCCATGTCGGCTCACAGAGACCCCGTTACGACAGGGCAGAGCAGCCCCTGGGAGTTTTCCAGAGGACAACTCTCTACGGGAGTAGAAAGGCCCTGTGCTCTCCCTTGGAGCCGCTGGTGGTTTTGAATGGCTGACCTTCCGGATTGCAGCCCAGTGGTTAACCACGGCCCCAACAGGGCTCCCTTTCACAGAAGCTCCAGCCTCAGGCTTCCTTTCTGCAGCCACGGATTCATGAGAGAAACCGTACTTTCTCTTGTTGAGAACTTGGAAGCCCTCCCATTTCTGGGCCGATTCCAGGAAATACAGAGGCAGCGCCTTCCAAAGGCGTGCCAGGTAAAGGTGAGCTCGTCCCCAGCACAGGCGCTTCAGTGGGGGACTCTGAACCCTAGGGGCTCTGGCTGGGGTGAAGCCTGTTTCTGATGGAGCTTCAGTGGGACGTGCCCACCCCTTGGGACCAACACACTGAACTGGGGCACAATCAGCTCATCACCGTGGATGCCATGGCTGCTTCACGCCCCCAACCTCGATGCCCCCCACCCCCAAATCAAAAGCCATCAAACTGACTGACTTTTTGATGTTTGATTAACTGTCAAGACCAGAAGCTCCTTTTAAGGATGATAAACCTGAGGATTTCTGCGTTAGTGATATACATGGGCCTGTTTGTGTAAGATACTCCTGAAAGTCTGCCTATCAATTACTTAACATTAAACTGTTGCTGAGTACCTTAAAGGTCTCATAAAACCACTCTACATCTAGATCACTGATTCTCAATGTGGGTGATGCCAGTCCCTGGGGATGCTGGAATGATTGGGGGACCGGGGGGGGGAGGGGAGATGCTGCAAAAACAGATACCTATACTTTATCCTGGATTATAGAC